GCTTACAGTCATGTCGTATATTTTATGCATTTATGAATATTTTTTAAGAAGAGATCAGTGGCACATGCAAAGTTAAGAAGACCTTTTCAAGGCCTCTGGTGCTTTGTCTTCATGGAAATAATTATAATGCATTGGTTGAGGTCTTGGTGGTAATACTGAGATCTTGAAAAGTCTGGTTTTAGATCTATTGTGTTGAGAGGGCTGGGAATACAGCTCAGTGGCACAGCAACTGTCTGGCAAGTGTGAGGTCATAAGTTCAATTCCCAGTACCAAATCGAAAAGGTAGATCCATAGCATTGAGAGGCTGTGGCATAGGTGACTCACTTGCCTTTTTACCCCATGGGGTCAGCAGTGAAGAGTGCTGCTGTGAGATAAGTTCTTGTGGAGGAGCAGTATGTAGCTTCATGATGCTTCATTCTTGGTTATTCTAATACAGGCTTCAGTACAGGACTCTAGCAAATTAGACATTTGCTAAGAGTTCCTCTTTGTCTTTTTGAGGCAGTTTCACTGTGAAATTAGGCTGGCCTTGAGCTCGCTTTGTAGGACAGGCTGGCCTTGGACTTGCAGTGAACCTCCTGACTCAGCCTCCTGAGTGTTGGGAGTATAGATTGCATGTGTGTGCCACCATGGCTGGCTGCTGACTAGCTTAAAGTATAATCCATCTTTTTTTTTTCTTAGAGAATTTGGTGGTTTAAAAACCTTGTTAAGCTTGATGTAGCTTTAGGAGACTTTGCCTGAAATGCTCTGTTGATGTGAACCATCTCTGAATTGTCAATATTTGTGAATGAATGTGGGATGGATGCTCAAAAGAATACTAAGTTAGGGCTGGGGAGATGGCTCAGTAGAATAAGCACTTGCCTGGCAAGTGCAAAGGCCTGAGTTCAATCCCCAGTTCCGCAAAACAAAACAAAAAAAAACAAAACAAACAAACAAAAAAGAATACTAAGTTAAATAAATACTCAAAATAAGAAATAAGTGAATAAATAATGCCAAGACGTTTCTTTTCACTAGTAGGAATAAAATCATTTGGCATTTTTCAGTGATGATTTAAGAGGCAGAGTGGAAAATGATTCTGAGAGGACATAGCCTCAACCTTTGGGTCACATCCTGCACTTCTAATCTTTATGGATAGTCTCTGAAATGTAAACTCTTTGAAGATGTGATGGCAAGAAGAAAATCGAGCATTACGTGAGGTCTTTGTTCTGTCTCTAATCAGTTGTGAGATCTTGGGGGAACATCTCATCTTCCACGCTTGTGTCCCTATTAATTACTCTAAAGCTTCTCCAACTCAAATAACCATTAATAGCTAGAAAATCAGGGATATATTATATTTATAATATATAAATATATAAATGTTCATTATATTTATAATATATAAATTTATTTTATATATAAAATGTTATAATTTATTGAACAGATAGCATATGATAAGTGATAGAACTTTAACAGAAAATAAGATATGGTTCCTGTCCTCAAGGAGTGTACAGTTTAGAATTTAAACAGCAAGTGAGTATTTAGGTCTAACAACTTTCTATACATTATTAGCAGTTCCTACAGAAAGTACAGCTATGATATTTGCATAGAGGCCTTGCCCGTCCAATCCAGATTGTCATTTGATATTCACTTAGTGTCAGCAGGACCATGATTTATTTTAATTTTTTTTTTGTATTTTTTAGGGAAGGGTCTACAGGGTGTTCATGGTCTCACTACTAGATTGGACTCATAGTGATCCGCCTGTTTACAACTCCCAAGAGCTGGGATTACAGGTGCTCACCACCACGCCCAGTCTTGCTTGATGTTGATTAATGTATAGAAAATAGTGGGCTCTCATTAACTTCCCATAATATGTATTCACTTTTTATTTGTGGGTCTAAAATGTGTAATTTAGATCATAATAGTAGTTCCTTGTTTTGAGAATGCTTATGAGGCAAAAAATACAGCTGTCTCCAGTGTGGTAAGTGCTACACTGAGCAGAATGCTGGCTTATGGACGTACAGAGAAGGGTGCGCCCAAGCCAGTTGTGTGCTGGCACTTGTAGGTGTCTCCATCATGTTTTGTGGAGAGAGTGATGTAAATAACTAGCAACTTGCAATGTGTAAAAGTGATAGAATTTAGTGGGGTTATGAAGCCCTGGTCAGGTACCTCAGGCCACAGAATTCAGATTGTATAGGCCAGGGCAACATCACCTTTCAAATATATAATGTTGAAATGTCAGTGATGGGTGTTTAGTGCTTTGTTGCTTTTGGATGTAACATTTCCTTTGCAACCTTTTCTTCAAAGTTTGTGTTTATGTTTATATGTCTATTTCAGAAAGAACACCCAGGTTAATGCCAGATAAGGGGAGCATGTATTACCCACGGGTGCAGCATTACCGAGAACTTCTTGACTCTTTGCCGATGGATGCCTACACACATGGTTGCATTTTACATCCTGAGCTAACTGTGGACTCCATGATCCCAGCTTACGCAACTACAAGGATTCGCAGTATGTAAAAATTTTAAAAGATCTAGAATTTGGCCTGAAGTTTCTTGTAATAATTCTCTTTTGAAACCTAGTGTGTCTCCTGGTCACTGAGAGAGGATTGGCAATAGGGTGTTGAGTTTGCATGGGTGTGCCTATTATGGATTGATCCAAGCATCAGTCTGATTAATCTGCATTTCAGATACCAGATGGATCTTTATTGCCTATAGGACCTTATTTGTCAGTTTTTGGCTTTGAGGGCTAAGATTGGATAATAGAAGAGTGGCCCATGGAAAAGTAGACAACATAACATGTCCTTGTGAATAGATGGACAGGGAGCCAGAAAAACTGCAGTTGGCCTGGGATGATGGGCAACTAAATTCACATTTCTGATCCTTAATTGTTTCACTGTGTGAGGGAGCTGGATTAGAGGCAACACCTACTCTGCCATCAGTGATCAGAGATCTATTGAGATCACATTGTGTCACCAGCTGTCTCCCTTCCTCTTGTCATGAGGCCAGAGTCAGGACAGGTGGGAGAGGAGAACAGAAGATGTGCTCTTCTGTGCAGGTGACAGCAGCTAGGATGGCCACGACAATGGCCACGTGGTCAAATCTGGAGTGTTTGACTTGAAATGTTCAGTCCTAGGTATTCAGATCTAGAAATCATGTTTTCCTATTACATTTTACATCAACTTTATCATTCTTTCTCATGTTATTTTCTTTCCCTTGAGACCTTTTCTCTCCCTCTCCTTCTCTTTTTACCTTCCTCCTTTTCTATCACCTTTCTCCTTTTCCTGCTCATCTTCTTGTTCTTTCTCCTTCATTTTATAAATACCTATCATATGATGTGAAGCATGTATTCTAGCCACAATTCTATTACCTATGTTAACATTATTTTACAGAATAAGGTTCTTCCCTTCCCTTCGTATAGCTGTTCATTATAGAAAAACTGAGAAGTATGGGAAGGGGGAATGGTGCACCTTTGTGGCCAGGAGAATGCCCTGGCCTGCATCAGTCCCTCCCAGGAGCTTCACAGTGGTGCTCAGCCTGTGCACCAGGTGCTCTTTGGCCCCACTTTGAAAGTGAAGAGACTGCGGCACTGACACGGGATGCTTGAGGCAGTAGCTGGGCATCAGCCCTAAAGCTCATGTCCCTGCCATTCAATTTACTCTCTTTTGTGACTGCACAGAAGGGAGAGAATACTTCTCTATTTAAAAATGCTTTTTTCATTAGGCCAAATTGGTAACACAGAGTCGGAACTGAAGAAACTTGCTGAAGAAAACCCTGACTTACAAGAGGCTTATATTGCCAAGCAGAAGCGGCTTAAAGTAAGTGATCAGGCTGTCTGCAGATGACATCCACTGTTTGAATGGTGTTCTTTTCCCCTATAAAAGAATAGCACTACTTCTAGAATATCCTCTGTTAAGCATTCTGACCACCACAATGTTGGCTTATGCATTGCTTTTAGATTTTTCTTTTGATGGTTAAACTGCATGGCAGTTGCGTAAGAAGCACATATTAGCATTGCTGATTTCCACAAAAAGTTATAAAACACAAAACTAGGGCAATACAATATTTTAACAGCCTGTAATGTCAGGTATCCCATCACGTTAAGGTCTAGCTGGACCCATGTCTTTGCACATGACACACTGACTTGCTCTGTCCCTAATAAGAAGTGTCCCTTATAGTCAGCCTTTTGCATCCTGTTGATTCCTTCCCCTGTGGCAGACATGGAAGCTTCTCCCTTATCGCAGATGGAGAAATAGCAGCCCTTCCTGGCCTCTCGACTTCCTGTTTTCATTTATTCCCTTAGTTAATGAGCCCTTCAAAGAAATGCCTGGATGGATACACAATCATTTTCTAGATCCCCAGTCACTGCAGTCAGACTTCTGCCTTGTTTCTGAATTCCTGATTACTCAGTCTGAGGGCTGCTTGAGTTGCATTCTTGAGTGGGGCAGGGGAGGAGTCTCCTTCTCTTTCACATTCTTTGACCTCCCAGGTCATCTGGCCTCCCAGGAGTTATCAGTGAGCACTGGTTTGCTCCTGGGATATTTTCACAGTGAGAGTATTTTCACTCAATTCTGATCAGGCTTCTATTTAACAAAGTTATTCTATTTCTAGCCATTGTCTAAAACAGGCTCCAACTTTATAAAAGTTTATATCTACTTTGCCCTAGATTTTTTTATGGGCACAAATAACCTGTTTGGCTTCTCTCTTTGATTGTTAGTCAAAGCTTCTTGATCATGATAATGTGAAATATTTGAAGAAAATTCTTGATGAGTTGGAGAAGGTGTTGGATCAGGTTGAAACAGAGTTGCAAAGAAGAAATGAAGAAACCCCAGGTAGGTTCTCATTTGTATTCTGTTTGTTTGTTTGTTTGATCACCAGAAGTCTTTATGGGAACATTCTTAGATTTCACCAACTGCATTCTTTTTAAAAAATTTTTTACAAAATAAAATACGTTTTTTATTTTTATTTTATTTTTTATGAATTTTGTGGAGAAACTAATAGGAATGAAACAGTTTCAAA